TTATGAATTTTATGCTCTTTTAAAGTTTTTAAAACCTTTTTGACTTGAATGACTTCCTTTCATATCACTGCCAGATCTGGGACATCCGTTGCGGCTTTTCAGTTCGAAGCATTTATGGTCCGCACATCTGCGGCGACTCCATGGACATTAGAGATGATGTTGTCCTGACAGGATCATGGCGATCATCCAAGCAACTACAGGTCAGTCAGTGTGCAGCGCACAAAGTCTGAGAWGTGTTGTGAGTCCACAGTTCTCAAAATCAAATGATTATCATATTCAATTATGCGATAATTGTCAATTACAATTGTTAATTTTTTTAATGAYAAGTCATGGTAACTKGAAGGCAAGGAATCAGGCCTTCGGCAGAACTGGAAAGGCCCCTCRTGCCCGCCCTAAGTGAAGGCAGGCCTGTAATTTTGTTTCGGCCTGAAAAAGGCCCGTCTGACGTAAGGAGGAGCCCCGTGAGTTAGTTGCTGCAAAGGCAGCATCTCCAACTAACGGGTAGGGCGCTACCCGGTAGTTGAAGATGCTGCAGACCAGCCAAAAATGCTGAGGCCCAGGACCCTTACAGTTGAGCCCCAGGCACATTCTGGAAGGGCCCTAGGGCGCAGCAGCTACTGGGACTCAGGCATGCAGTCAGGCCAGGCAGGCTGCACACAAGCCAGGACGAATAATTTAAGCAAAGTGAGCCTTGCCCACTTTCATGGCCACGTGTGGCAGCGCTGCTGGAGCGCACGCCGGTGAGTCAGAGCTGGCTGGAAGCTGGGCGCATACCGGCGTTGGGAGACGCTGCTGGGCGCAGCTACATGGTGCGGCAGCCATAGCCAAGCTGCTGTACAGGAAGCCGATGGGGTACTGGTGGAGGTTCTTGGGCGAAGTAGAAGAGCCTGTGGGGATAATAAGTCAGTGACAGGGGCAGCAAAAGAGGACACATACCTGGTGATGGGGACGTGGGCCGCATGAGCCTAGGCKTCYAGGAGTCTTCGAGTTCATCGGGCATCTGCTGAAGTCAACTGGATTGCACCATTAGAGCCTACTATGCGTCTAGCAGTCGTCTCATTGTAGTCTGGCTGCCGAGCACCATGAATCTACTTTTGAAAGTTTTCGTTAAATTTGAAATACTTTGCTCGCGTGAYGAAATCGAACAAGGATTTTTTTGCCCYTTTTAGTATGTTTTTTATTTTAATTTTGTGCCGATAACTYCGTGTTAATGCAGACCGCCTTCAATCAAGGAACCSAAGCATCTGGAAGGGTCACAACTGACAACRACAAAAAATCCTTGTTCAATTTTGTTGCACGGGCAAAATACCTCAAATTTAACGAAAGCCTCGAAAGGTCAGAAGTGTAGGAGAGCGACATTGGAGACATTGATGGTGTGTGGTGGCGAGAAAAGGGCTTACATTGTCGATTGATTTCATTGCAGTTCATTCCTTTGCACTTATTTGGTTTAGKGTTTGTGGTGCAATCTGCTTTCAGTTGGACACATGAGTATCTGGCTTTCTATGGGATGATGCACTTTGGTTTCAGTCATTTGCATTGCTCATTTTCCTTGCAGTAATTTATGGCTCGTCGTATCRCGAACAAAAAACTAAGATCAAGTATAAAAAACTTCAACAATTGAACTACTGTTAACAAGTATATTGACAGGTTTAGATTCCTTTAGACCATCTAGACATTTCCCAGCTATTTTG